TTAGCATAGTTTTGGAGATAAAATCAAAATAAAAACAAATAACAAACCTTATTTTTTTAATATACCTTTTAAATTCTAATTCCAATGTCCGATTTAGGCATATAATCAATACTTAATTCCGAAAAGCGGTAAATCCACAGCATAAAAATTGATGCAGATTTTACCGCCATTCTTTTTGCCAGGGATTGTATCACATTGCTGTTGACATAATAATTCATGAACAATTTCTAATAAATTATTTAATAAATTTTAGTATAAATTAAATGCATTAAAAAAACATTATTTAATATACCCATTAAATTGCTTCCATATGAATATTGCAATCTTCTTTGTTTTTTTATATAGTAATTTAATTTTTTTGAATTGCTTAATGAGATATGAAGATTATTAATAGAAGCAGTATTATTTAAATACATTTTTGAAATTTATCCTAATTAAAAAGTTTAATTAATAAATTATAAAAATTCAATTTAAAAAAAAATATTTAATAAGATATAATTAACCTATTAATAATTTTCTTGCTGTAAGATCAAGTGTATCTTCATGTTTAATAATTTCATTAAGTTGCTCCAAAATATTAGATAGTGTAGTTACAGGAGGAGGGGGTAAGTGATTATGAATTTCTTTTGAAATTATAGCAATAAATGGACAACTTTATAAATTATCTGGTATAAATGAATTCAATTGAATATTACACTTTTTAGTAATAATAGATGCTTCAATAACTATATTTACAATTAAATGAGGAAATCCTGTTAAAAAATATAAAAAATTAAAAATTTGTAATTTGTAAATATTGTATAATTAAATAAAAAGATGCTTATTACAAGTTATTTGTTTTGAAGAATAATGTAAAATTGTATTACATTTTTGCATTTGTAAACAATATAAATCATTTCTCTACAAATATTAATCATAATTAATAAATAAAATTAAATTTTTAAATTATAAAAATAAATTATACCTGTTCAAAGTCTTTAGCAAAGCAAAAAATAAAGTTTTTGAATAATTCTTCCAAATATTCTGTATCAATTTTACTATCATTACCGTAAAATCGTAAAAATAAGCACCCCTTGAAAATAAACACCCCTGTGACTTTTGCTATCATGTCTGTAAAAACTAAAAATAAACACCTT